TATCATTCTAAGACATTGTATTGTTTATATATATTTTCAGGCCTACCTGGCTTGTCTAATGTGTGCATATTTCAAAATTGATTGTAGATAATGTAGTTTTGGGAATTGCGATATCATTTCAAAAGGGTCATTGGTGCCTCTTGTTTTGGCAGCCTAAACCTGGCAGAAGAACCTTTTACGGGGATGTTGGTTCGAACTGTTCTTCAGCAACCAATGGAAGTATCAGGATCGGGTGATCAGGCCTTCTGACTGATCACATGTAGATTTTTGTGATCTTGTCGTACTCGCTTACATCGATGCTCTTAATATAAGTCATTGGAAGTGTTTTGTCAACAGTGGATTAAAATGACCACTCTCATGTGTATCTCCTTGTTATGTTAATGAAACTGGTTTTAGTCTAAAACCTGCATTTAGAAATCCAGTGGAGGTCATTTAACCCTCTTCTACTGAAAGCATGAACGTCATTTTAATGAGCGAGTTCAGAAATTCTCCGTTTCATTTGCAATGCAGTTCAGTATTTGTTCAGTGCATGTCAGACATGAAAACCTGAAGTAGGAAGTAAACTTAACAGATTATTCTGTAGTGTAGGATTAATGTTGCGTAATAATTCTGTGTAGCCAACAGTGTAGATGAGCTCTAGAAGTGGCTTTAAATGATGTGCTGAATATCGACAATTCCGCTGCAGTCTCCTAGCATGAGAACCTTATCGACGCCCATGTTGGAAAGTAATCAAATCGGGGGACATTTGAAAGACCTATTGCTATCAATCAGGACGTGTGATGTTGAGGAAGCTATTAAAGACATCGAGACGAGAGAGCAAAGGTTAGCTGCCCAGTCAACATGCAGCACTGTATCACGGAATTCTCGAGGGTACTTTTCTACTAAGGTTTTCCCTCAGCCCGCCGGACGTCACGGTCGGCCATAAAGAGAGAGACGTACTACACGTCAACGTATTTGTCGGTTTGATAAATTGCACGCGACCTCGGAGACGTGGAAGACAAAACGTTTTGCAAGCATGGTCTCTCGTGGTGAGGCTGGAAGAACATAGATTGCTGTTTTAATCGCAGGAGGGTGCTACCAATCTTCTACAGCTTCTCGTTTTTTTTCTGAAAATATATTGGGACATCCTGTGATGCAGAGCCACATTTGTCTGTTATATGAGGTAACGCCGTGTATATGTGTGATGGGATTGTAGACGTCGCAATGACGACCATGCTCACGTTATACACGTTTGGCACAGATTCAAAACTGCAAACGAATACGAAAAAAGACTTAAATGTTTCGTTAGACAGTTTGAAGTATTGCTTGCATGCTCTTTGACACAAATAAAGAGGATGGCCTGTTAAAGGAAGGTGAAGTTTGTTATCCCCCTGTTAGACGCGAAACACAGACTTAATCTCGCTAATGACAGTCAACCGTTATTGCCTTAACATACGCAGTGTTTTAACTGATTGGGTTACAGATTCATCTTGGGGATCAATGGAGTCAGGGAGTCTCTATAAGTAAAACTACGGCGACACCACGTGGTGGGATACAGTAACCCACATTGTAAACGTGGGGAATCGAACCTTGGTCTCGGCCTTTACCAGCGTGCTACTTCACTGTCTCTGACTTACATGACTGACTGACTGAGTTTGGTTTTACGTCGCTTTTAGCAATATTCTAGCAACATCACTGCGGGGACACCAGAAATGGGCTTCACACATTGTACCAATGTAAGGATTCGAACCCGGGTCTACGGCGTGACGAGCCAACGTTTTAACCACTAGGCTACCCCACCGCCCGACTTACATGATCATATAAGTAAATCAAATGAAATAAGAATAATTTCATTCTCCTCTATATTTTGAAATACAGAGAGAGTGGGAATGAGTTTAGTTTTACGCCGCTTTTAGCATTGTTCCTTCAATGTCACGGCGGGGGACACCAGAAATGGCCTTCACACATTGTACCCATGAGGGGAATCGAACCCGGGTCTTCGGCGTGACGAGCGAATGCTTTAACCACTAAACTACCCCATCACCCCACGAACTACAGAGGACGCTTGTATATGTATTGTTAATAATGTGCGCAAACTTAATTCAGTATATGATGACACTATTTTCATTTCTAAACCAACATATGGAACAACACACGAATGGCACTGTCCTCAGAAATATCGTTTTGATGAATACCACTGTAACCAGTGTGTGACGGTTTTGTACCAGATGCCTTCTTACAAGTAACCACATCGAAATGTCAGAAACTAAAACACAACAATCTAATTTCTATTGATTTTCAAATAAGACATCTTACATAAAGAGCAGGCATGTAGTGGGAGGTGGTGGTCTCCCTATGATTGACTTGATCAAACCAACTAAATATGTCAAAATTAACTGGCAACTGATTGACGCAAATGGCAAAAGCTACGACTGAGCTTTGTAGAGGAATATATTGAATTTTATCTGACTGTATAAATTACAAGATTTAGATGTTTTTCTCACATCTCTGTTCTTTCCGTGAATCGCAGCTTGTGGCATTCGACCCACGGTAGCCTCAAAGTGGCCTAAATGCTTTTGTTCTTATCCTTTATTTTTTTCAATATGTCAATATGAGTAAAACTGATGACTTAACAGATGATCTAGAATTGTAATTTGAAAACGTTTTGATCAAACAAACAATTTGTTCCATCTGACTGTAGAAATAATTGTTGCTTGTATCAAGGGGATTATTTGCTTCACTGGAATTGCTGAACCATTTTATCCTTTTAGTCCATATTGTTTTATCATGTCATATCTTTTGTCATAAAAGTGGGGAAAACTATCTTTGATCCTTTGGTTGTGAAGACGTTAGACATTCGTTATCTGACGATACAGAGTGCGTGGACGTATTTTATATGCTACTTTCGATTCTTCAATTGCAACTTCGTTAAAGTACAACGTATTAACGTTCTATACTATTTAAAATATGTTAAGAGACACCCGATTCATATATATTACTGTATTAAATACATAACATCGGGACCTCCTCCTTAAAGAAGCATATTTAGTCTGCAGTTTGTTGAATTCTCCAACACTTTATACTGCTATGCGGAGTGATATCTGATTTTCGGGATACATTTTCGCTGTGGGAAATTTTAACCCAACTGCTGATATTTAATGTAGGTAAATATGTTACAATAGTGATAATAACCACATCTATTGATTGGGACGTGGTGTCATATATTGGAATTTGTCCTCTTCATTCAAAACAAATGGCGCAATACTGCATTTGGCAAGCAAGGACTGACGAACTTTTCTCGCCTTGTAAATATGGATGCTGAGGGAAGAATCTACGATGAATCAGAGAGTATCTTTATTGAATACCGCCGATTGTACAAACCATGAGGCGACCAGGGAAATATGTATTTCACATTCCTTCGTTATCCTCAATGCAGTCCCATAAATGGCAATGTAGTAAAAAATCAAGCTGCCTCAATCAGATCAATGGAAGAAGTTTTAAGTAACTTAATCATTACTGATTTGAAGCTCTCGGTTAACATTCTATCGCACAATACCATTTTGAACTGCCTCTTGTGGTTCCTTGAGGGGTCATGCCGCCTGCTAGCATCATGCAATTATCAGGATGAAGACCTCGAGGTTATGACAATTACCAGTGTAGGTGCTCTGTCTGGAGCAACTACCGTTTGGAATGATTTCAAATTTACCAATACAACTTGTGGAGTGGGCGAACTAGGGCCCTCTTGACATGATGTTTTAGTTTGGGGTCAGGATGGAAAATTGGCTAACGGAACAGGCACAATTTAATGAGAAGATTTCACGCTTGACATCATTTAGAGCGTACTATTTTGCCTCGAGCAAGGTTATACAGACGTGTGGGTTCTGTGACCTTTTTGGAAGAATCCCAACGCATTTGTTAGATCCAACGGAGTAAGCTTGAATCGATTTACTTAGAAGAGTAGGCATATTTGTAGGGTCAGCTGTGATTTGAAACCCTTATGTTGATATCGAACACTATCACATTGAACACTGACGTGCTGAGTGAGTCGACAATGGCACGCATTCAGGTGTCATGTACTATATACAATAGAACGGTTACCGTTGATGATATCTTACGACGTTGATAACACGGAAGCTCCATTATGTTGCTGTAAAAATCTCCACATTGAGTGCATCACCGCAGTCTAGAGATGAAGTGTTCTAGGAGATGCAAGACATTATTGTGACGACTTCGTTTTTTACTCTTCTCGAGTAGCTGCAAGTGTCATTACATCACAGCTATTTTCCAATCAATATATCTCTCACATATCAGATATCTTAAGAAATGGAACAGGACGATGTCTAAATGGAAGCAAATATTATCAAGGTCTCGCGGTTGTTTACTTGATATAGGATTATTTAACCTTAAAAGTCGATTTTAGAACGTTATGGGGATAAACATGACCAGAAAATGCCTCTGGCAGATTTTATCTCCGTAATAGACCCAATCCAGGTTAAGGTATTGTACGTTGCTATCACCAAGCAATCCAAATCAGACTCTAAACAATTCAATACAATTCATGTTGGCCGTATTATTTTGTATACCTACCGACCAAATGCTTTTCACTATCAAAATCCGGAAACCAAAATCTCCCCAAACGTTTTGGCCTTACATATTGGAACATATTAACTTTGCAAAGGATTTTATTGAGAATTGAGAATTATTTTTTTTATAATTTCTTTATTCTGTTGCATTTGTACATAGTTGCACATGTATATAAACTGTCTAGATAAACAAAAGGTGACAAGATGACCAGAATTTAGTAAATTGGTTCAGATGTCCATACATTTTGGCTGTGTATTTCGTGAAGTAATGTGAGTTCTTCCTGAATCATTTCAAAATTTGTTGATTTTCTTTATAATTTGAGAAACTGAAAAATATTCATGAGTATAAGTATTTCGTTACATTTTGAAATCAGTTGTTTTGAATGAAAATAAAACGATTTCGATATATGTTCTACATAATGGAACGTTCTGTTTCAGTGCGTAAAAACAGGCCAGGAATGTCTCCAGACAAGTCAGTGTTGCAGCCCCGGAGATGTGTGTTTAACCAGCACAAAATATACCAAATATGGAGGTAAGTATATGCAGGCTACTTTTTCGTAAACTTCTACATAACAAAATTTTCAGCAGCAGCAGCTATTTTGAACGCTTAATGAGTGAGTAAGTTTAGTTTTAAGCCGCACTCAGCAATATTCCAGCTATATGGTGAACGCTTAATGAGCCAAGGTCACAAATGAGAGAGAGAATAGAAGTAACAAATAGCAATGTGTCTAATGTCTAAAATAACGTCTAATTACATTATAATAATTGATGAAAAAAACTTAGTAAATATTTATCGGCTGATCACACAATACCAAACATCTACCTAAACGCACTCACGCACGCACGCACGCACGCACGCACACATGCACACATCCATATACATCAACCAAACATGCAGTCGATGGAAACTGGAAACATCAGTGTGATGATAATAATTTCTTCTATATATGCTTATATATATGCTATATAGTATACTCAAATACAATAGTGTTGAAGCCCTAACTGGTGCTTAACGTGCTTTATTAACTTATTACATGGATGAGCACAATACAGACTACATCATGCTGTAGTTATCAATCAACGCTATTAACGAAACTGAGATAATACATCATCAACTGTCCTTCGTGACTGAACATAGTTTTATGTATAAACGACCGAGTCTTCTCGACTGACTAAAACAAGTATTATGACAACTTTTTGATAAAAATCAATATTTTTACTTTATTTATCCACGGTACGCTGCATCCTATACACGATCGATATTGCTGGTTTGGTATTTAGCGTTGTATAAGAGATGTGATTATTCCTCAAAGAGATTTTGTTGTAGGCACAAAGGTAATTGTTGACGCACACATAAACGCCCCCTCTCAATCATATGCTTCATTTCAATCATTACAGGTAAGAAGTACATGGCAAGCACCTGCCGAAATGTCGAGGAGCTGGCCAGGCATATGCCACCTTACAAGAAAGCAGGTGAGTGGTCGTCATCATCATCATCATCATCATCATCATAATGAGAATATGTATTAATCAAGTTGCTTAGATGTAACAACCACTGCGTACAATCCAGGTATATTAAAATGTTGGAAACATAAAAATCGATCATAATCTGAAAAACAGTTTGTAGCATCTATAAGAATACTGGAAACTACCCGTGATGATCCGGGTTAGAATTGGTCTTCAGCATGCCATGCTTGTCGTAAGAGGTGACAAACATGTCATCACATTCCAACTTCATAGATCGCTGCTCAAGCCGTTGATCACTGGATTGTCTGGTTCTGAGTAAATTATTTGTAGACCGCTGCCATACAAATACGTGTAATATTGACCAGTGCGGCGTTAAAAACCAACCAACCAACCAACCATAAGATATAAAACTCTCTTGTGGGTCCTTTTCAGTTTTCAGTTTTGAACTCAAGCAGACACTGCATCCAGGAACTTTAAGTAAACAGCTGAGTACTGTCCATGAATTAGCTTACTACCTGTTGCCGTGTATATGACCAAACGACTTGAAAAACAACTTCAAATGATTCCATTTCTCTACAAAGTTTCGACAGTGTATAATGTTGTTACTGCAGCTTTGAAAACAACAGCGTCAGAACAAAAGTATCAACGTAATAATAAGGAGCGAAAACATATTGAATGTCACGCATACATGTCAACAAAGAAAGAATATCACCGAGGCTCTGTTGGACAGAAACGTATTGGACATTTAATTACATATCGTTTGACCGTGAACGATGTAGCTATCACCGCAGGATAATTGCCGTTACTTGATAACAAGGCACCGATGTCTGTACTGATCACAGAGGAACATGATTAACTATCCCGTGTCTCACGGTTCCATCACGCAAAAGAACACTATGCTTATTCTTCATTAACTCTTTGTTTATTATAGACATTACGGTAATTAAGATCAAACATGCACTCCCCTAGTAATTTACTGTATTCAAATGCACTGATGTAGTTGACGTTGCTACTTTCGATCTCCCCAGTTTCGGTGAGTTCTTCTTGATCTGAAACTGTTTCATTTGTACTGTATTTCATTTGATTGGGCGAAAGGGGAGTTTAGATAATGAAAATACCAAAAGCAAACGTTTCTCATTGCCGGATCCCTGAATTATGATCAATAAAACATTTATACTTGCAATACTGGACCCTCACTCAAATAACCAAGTGCTGAGAGTACTGGTCCCTGTTTGACAATGCGTGAAAACAATCATTACTCACGAAGTTAAACAAAGACTTCCTAGCGCTATAATCCTCCGTGGAATAGGTCCCAGGAACATAACGCTCAAGAAACTATCATTGCATGCTACAAAATCTAGAACATATAGATACAGACTCAAGAACCTAATGAATACTAAGAAATCTGGAACACAGAGATATGGAGTCGAGAATCTAATGTATACGTACAATAGAGGAACATAGGGATCTGAACAAAATAAACCAATGTACAAGAATCTTTACAATAGAGGAATGTAGAGATTTGAACTAAACAAAGCTAATATGTACTAACAAATCTGAAACATCTGAACAATAAACTCTAATGTATACTTACACTATAGGAATATAGATATCTACACATCGATCCTGGTGAGCAAACCGAGTATGTCTAGGACTGCCAAAATGTGTTTGTTGTTAAACGGTGGTCTGTAAATACACGACTTGGACCAGACAATCCAACGATTGATAACAAGATCATCTAACTTCATAACTAAGACACGATGACATACATGAACCAAGTCGGCGATCCTGACCACGCGACCTTGTTGGTCGCATCTTACGACAAGCATCGGATGCTGAAGATCAGTTCTCATCCGATCTTCACGATGGTCCGCCAAAGTTCCCGATAAAGCATTTTTGAAGAAATAAGTGGGTTGAGACAAGACGCTTAAACGACAGAATGTTGACTTCAAGCACTATGTTTTTGGTTACCAGCATTCTGCAATGTTTTCCAAAATAAGTTCGTAACTAGACCTTTCGTGCGGTTGTTTACGTCAACGACCCTTGTATATATAATATCATGAGTTGTGCTTAACTTCCAGTTTGATCGCACGGAAAAACTAAAAATTCCAATCATACAATGTTTTTGAACGTTCAGTTCCGTTCCACTGGATCCACCTTACCCTCATTATTCAGTGTATAACTGCACATGCAAATATCAAATAACAGAATGATTTTAACCATGCTTATGAACCGATCGTTTATCATTTTAGATAACTGTACATCTAACATCCATCTATCATCCAGGTCACAGTATAAAACCAAGTTATTGTATTTGCAGGTCAGCAATGCAAGGACAGTCTCGAGTGTCTTGACCTTTGCTGCCGTGAGGTCAGAGGTCACAGGTACGGCGTGTTCCACGTGTGCGGGAAACCGGAAGACAGGTATATGTCCTACCGGTGTAGGACAAACGTTGACGTGCGCAGCGAGAACGAGGTCATCGACACATTTGGTGGCTACAACAAAATAAATCCCTGGGCTTAAAGACAGACCTGTTCTGAACTGGATGAATCCGACCTATATATTGGGGTGCCCTGTTGTCAGCACTTTCAAGACTTCATACATAACACTCGTTCTTTATCTGTGAATATAAACTATAAGTTCAAATGCCCAAATACTATTGTTTCAGGGCAAGATATTTCAGAAAGAAATATCAACATTTTCCATAGGTCATTGAAATTGTGTATCTTGACATTTTAACGAATTAACTGTGGTTTTTACAACATTAACTTAAAAACAAAACATCATTCCACAGCGGTTGTGTTGTTGCAAAGGTTATTCCATTCTACTTTACATAGAGGCGCCCTATATATGTACGAGAGTGTTCTATCGAATGTGGATGTATATTGTGCTGAAAATTTCATGAATGTTGTTTTCTTTTCTTTATATCACTTTGTATTCTCTATCAGTGTTTCAATCTTAATCTGGATTTCAATAACGTTTTTCTATAAAATATCATTGAAGGGGAGATAACTGATGTTGACGTAGACTACAGCGACTATGTTCGCTTCATCCATTTTGTGAATCTGACTCGTGGAATTTTATGCAATACATGGCGATTGCCTATATTGGTGTTCTATTTTATTATGTTCTGACATTTTTCAAAAGCTTTCTCTCATAAAAAGGACTCTTGTATGATTAGTTGTATCACTAACGTTTATCATTATCAATTATTATTCACCTGCAACCCAATATCAATGAACACCATTACGTTGTTCCTGGGGGTGATATAGGGTTTAACGTGGCGTTGTGGACTATTGTACTGATATAGCGACGTGTAGTCAGAGCTACTGCTGGTATTATTGAAGCCCACTGACATGCCATGCCGCAGTTTAACATAAGTGATGCCCACTCAGAGTCTACCCGTCTCAGACCCGTAAAGCCAAACACCAGTCAAGGAAAGAAGAAATAGAATCACTTCGTGTGTTTTGGTAGGACGGACCGGGAATTGACCCACCGCCTTACTGCTCTTCGGACAAACGCCCTATCCGATAAACCACGGGGCGTCGTGATCGTTGAGATCACCAAGGACGACGTATGACAAGTAGGTTTATGCACATGAAGCAGACCTTCTAGCTTCGCGAGGGAAAAAATTTGGTCTGCGTTACGTGCATTTGACCAGTAGTGTTAAGCCAGTTTTAATTATGTTTAATTTTCTTCGCAACTAATCCGGATAATCCGGATTATATGCCTTTGTGATCAGCTCGTTAGGTCTATCTGTCTACATTGCTTATACACTGGTACATACAAAATGAAATCAGATACATTATATATATACATATATATTCTTATACATTTATTTACATATATACAATTCAGATGTTACATAACAAATGGAAGCTAGCACAACTTAAGGCTGAAAGAAGCAGAATCTGCATAGTCAATGATAGTGATTTCGTCCTGCTGTAGACGCCGTTTCAGAGCTAAAAGGGTCTAATCAAATCGGACATATTCCTTCTCTTTGAGGGTGGTTTGCCTCCGGCTGCATATTGCTTCACTCTCAGTTCAGTGGACATTTTTATTGACTTGAGGAATGTGATGGTTGATCCTTTCACTGGAGATTTTGTCCAAGCGACTTTGGTACCCTTCCAAGTTGGTCCGTGGCCCGATGGTTTGGTGGTGGTTCCACTGGTGGGTGTGTAGATCACCCTCTATGCACTGGTTCCCTTATGTAGTATTCAAATGAATTTTTTTTCACATTATTATGATCAAATATCAGGTGTCATTTTGAATACGGTTCAATATAGGTGAATAACTAATCATATAGGTGATGCCTGATTGATCAGTATTCACTAAGTTGATTAGTCAATCAAGAAATCTCACCTTTAAGACACTAAACAAACACCAATGAGTTGCAAGTCCAGAGAGGTGAGCATCAAATTTAAAAAGGTCTGCCTCATGTGCATAGTTTGAAATCTAAAAGTATGTCTCGTGTGTATAGTTTGAAACCTAAAAGTCTGTCTCGTGTGCATAGTTTCGAACCTAAAGGTCTACCTCATGTGCATAGTTTGAAACCTAAAAGTCTGACCTCATGTGCATAGTTTGAAACCTAAAGGTCTGCCTCATGTGCATAGTTTGAAAACCTAAAAGTCTGCCTCATGTGCATAGTTTGAAACCTAAAAGTCTGCCTCATGTGCATAGTTTGAAACCTAAAAGTCTGCCTCATGTGCATAGTTTGAAACCTAAAGGTCTGCCTCATGTGCATAGTTTGAAACCTAAAGGTCATGTGCCTCATGTGCATAGTTTGAAACCTAAAAGTCTGCCTCATGTGCATAGTTTGAAACCTAAAGGTCTGCCCTCATGTGCATAGTTTGAAAACCTAAAGGTCTGCCTCATGTGCATAGTTTGAAACCTAAAGGTCTGCCTCATGTGCATAGTTTGAAACCTAAAGGTCTGCCTCATGTGCATAGTTTGAAACCTAAAAGGTCTGCCTCATGTGCATAGTTTGAAACCTAAAGGTCTGCCTCATGTGCATAGTTTGAAACCTAAAGGTCTGCCTCATGTGCATAGTTTGAAACCTAAAAGTCTGCCTCATGTGCATAGTTTGAAACCTAAAAGTCTGCCTCATGTGCATAGTTTGAAACCTCATGTGCAAAGTCTGCCTCATGTGCATAGTTTGAAACCTAAAAGTCTGCCTCATGTGCATAGTTTGAAACCTAAAAGTCTGCCTCATGTGCATAGTTTGAAACCTAAAGGTCTGCCTCATGTGCATAGTTTGAAACCTAAAAGGTCTGCCTCATGTGCATAGTTTGAAACCTAAAGGTCTGCCTCATGTGCATAGTTTGAAACCTAAAAGTCTGCCTCATGTGCATAGTTTGAAACCTAAAAGGTCTGCCTCATGTGCATAGTTTGAAACCTAAAAGTCTGCCTCATGTGCATAGTTTGAAACCTAAAGGTCTGCCTCATGTGCATAGTTTGAAGGTCTGCCTCATGTGCCTTGAAAAAGGTCTGCCTCATGTGCATAGTTTGAAACCTAAAGTCTGCCTCATGTGCATAGTTTGAAAGGTCTGCCCCTGAAACCTAAAGGTCTGCCTCATGTGCATAGTTTGAAACCTAAAGGTCTGCCTCATGTGCATAGTTTGAAACCTAAAAGTCTGCCTCATGTGCATAGTTTGAAACCTAAAAGTCTGCCTCATGTGCATAGTTTGAAACCTAAAAGGTCTGCCTCATGTGCATAGTTTGAAACCTAAAAGTCTACCTCATGTGCATAGTTTGAAACCTAAAAGGTCTGCCTCATGTGCATAGTTTGAAACCTAAAAGTCTGCCTCATGTGCATAGTTTGAAACCTAAAGGTCTGCCTCATGTGCATAGTTTGAAACCTAAAAGTCTGCCTCATGTGCATAGTTTGAAACCTAAAAGTCTGCCTCATGTGCATAGTTTGAAACCTAAAGGTCTGCCTCATGTGCATAGTTTGAAACCTAAAGGTCTGCCTCATGTGCATAGTTTGAAACCTAAAAGTCTGCCTCATGTGCATAGTTTGAAACCTAAAAGTCTGCCTCATGTGCATAGTTTGAAACCTAAAGGTCTGCCTCATGTGCATAGTTTGAAACCTAAAGGTCTGCCTCATGTGCATAGTTTGAAACCTAAAAAAGTCTGCCTCATGTGCATAGTTTGAAACCTAAAAGTCTGCCTCATGTGCATAGTTTGAAACCTAAAGTCTGCCTCATGTGCATAGTTTGAAACCTAAAGGTCTGCCTCATGTGCATAGTTTGAAACCTAAAGGTCTGCCTCATGTGCATAGTTTGAAACCTAAAAGTCTGCCTCATGTGCATAGTTTGAAACCTAAAGGTCTGCCTCATGTGCATAGTTTGAAACCCAAAAGTCTGTCTCATCTGCAGACACCGACAAGTACGGCAGCACACCATAAGCGGATGATACGTTATGCAGACAAGGTCTAAAGTGGCTTTCATAAACACTTGTGACCAATGAACTGAGTGCATGACTCAAACCTCGGTTCAGTTGTATCACCGTCTGTTTCCAAAGGGTCGTAGGCGCTGATCAGGTCTCTGAAACCCAAGAGCAAGGGAACGACAGGCTGATTAAGAATCATAATTACTCCGGTCATTGTACAGCCACGGTAGGCAACCATCAGCACCACAGAATTCGAAAAGACCCAATGATTTCAGCACCAAGACAATGTCATAAATCCCAACTGACAAATATCTAATTAGATAGATCTCAGTAAACATGAGCGTGTAAGCATTTCAAAGCGGCAACACGCAGCTGAATGCAATAAATACAAACTTACATTACAGTTACAAACAGATCATATAACTCAGATATATATGTTAAGGAACTGCATGTATATACATATACTGACTGACTGAGTTTGGTTTTACGCAGACTTTTAGCAATATTCCAGCAACATTACGGCGGGGACACCAGAAATGGGCTTCACACATTGTACCCATATGGGGATTCGAACCCGGGTCTTCGGCGTGACGAGCCAACGCTTTAACCACTAGGCTACCCCACCGCCCCTTATACACATATACAATGCTCATATAACTAAGATATATATGTTCAGGAAATACATGTATAAACATATACAATGCCATCCATTTGGTGTCACTTCTTTTTAAAGCGATTCATAAACACATGCTGATGATATTGTCGGAATCGAACAAGTGACTCAGCTTTTAGAAGAATATGGAAATGTGTTGCTTGCATTTATTTACAGCAAGGAATAGTATTTGTTAAGCCAAGAGGCATGCGTGGCAAAATATAGTCGACACAGCCATTGTTAAGGTACGATTAGACTATTTATACGTATATGCTCCATAAAACTAGTTAATTATTCCAAGCAACAGGTACTTGGTGGCCATATACAATAGGACTAAACACTGATCTGACGCAAGCATTAACAGAGCTACAGATAACTTTTTGGGGTCATTGAGTTATGTACTCGCTTGTGTTCATCTCAGTTGGGTATCCTAATTTTCCTTTGAGTAACCAAATAAATTGTACCCACCCCACTCAAACTCAATTGGGTATTTTATCATTTTCCATTAATTGTAAAAATAAAACAAAGTTTAAATCTTATTCATATTGGATCTGTAATATAAGAAAGACTGCAAGTTGCCAAGTTCATGTGTTGAAATAGTACCTCTCAATATACCTCAGTTATTTCATCTATGCACCGGTACGCAAGCTAAGATTTGACATTTTTGTGTCTACGCATGTAAGGTCAAATATATTGAGTATTTACAAAAAATCAAGCTTACTTGTACGCAATGGACTTAATAAGAATTGAGTTTTCACATAAATATTTGCGTAATGTACGCAGATACGCAGTTTATCTGCATTAACTGAGGGTTTATGGGGCCTAAAGAAGCATAGGGGCATAGATTGCAGAGATGTCAACGTTCCAATGGCACGTATGATCGTGGATTTGAATCCCCCGATTATGTTTCTAGGTGTGCAATCACTATACCGGTGCCGTAGTATTTCACCAACGTCATGAATGCCTGACACCCGCTTCACTTCCCCGTCTAAAACCGTAAACTTACCCCAGAGAAGTACGTTCAACAGAAACACGACTATCTTACAATATAGGACGTAATCCC